GTACATTAATTTCTGGAGCAACCTCTCTAATTCGTGCAACTACACCGTTATGTCGGCTTGTCATTGCTCTAGCACCGTCTGTACAAACTCCCACACATTTTATCCAGTCGATGCCATTCTCTTCGATAAATTCATTCAGAAGCTGAAATGTGTGCTCTCCTGTAGTTCCTGTTGGTAGCGGTTTAAAGAACAGAAAGTCCTCATGGGACGTAGCCTCAAACTCGTACATAACGTAAACGAGCAAATTGGCCAAATTGACTACAGACTCATCTAATTGCAGTGAAAAACATCTGCTCATCTTAACGCGCTCTGTCAGTGTACTTTTGATATAATCCTTCATTTCAATAATTCTATGAATGACTGTGTCTTTCAGGGGGAGGGGGGCAGCAGGTCGAGCTGTTTAGCAGCTTTTTCTCTACACATAATACGTGTCAGCTCTTTTGCCAACGGTAAATAAGGTTCTTCAAAAACAGTGTAGCTTACCTGCTTTAGCAATCCGCAAGCTTGCATTTTTCCGCGTTTCCGTTTTTATTTCCGTATTTATTTAAAGTTTTTATTTCATGCGCATGGGAGCGAAACAGAGACGCTCGGTGTATTTACCTCAAATTAGAACAGTTCTTAAATATTTTTCTGTTATCACGTTTTCGTGTGCTCACAAGATTACCAGCATTCGTAGCACGTATTTCTATGCATTCCTGTGTTTACAACGTTGGCATTGTTCCAAAATCACGCGCATTCTCCTTCCTCCCTATTTGCTGGAGATACAGTAGCTTTTTTTAAATACAATTGGTCACTTGCATCCGTAGCACACATTCCTACGGAGTGGTATAGAATTACAGAGTATCTCTTGTGTCCACTGAAGTATTAGCGCGCAATGTATCATAGTACGTAGGCTGCGTATTCGACACTGTATTAAAATACAAAATATGAAAACCCGTCCCGATTTTTCAGCGCACAAGACACAGTTCCATGGTCATTTGGCGTACCACTTGGCGGCACGCCACGTACCACTGCCGGTACGCGTACCACAGTTTGAGAACCACTGCTCTAGGGGGTAGGTGTTGGGGACTGTATTATCCAAGAAACCGGTGGCAGACGACCTTTTCCAAGAACATGGAGATGGGGCTCTAGCTCCTGTGAAGTAGTGGTACAGGAGTGGTGTAAGATACACCCCTCGCGCCCACTCGCAGAGAGCTCTAATCTGCAGTTGGCCACTAGGTGGCGCTGCAGTGCCGGGGAGGGACGCGGTTACTCACTGAGGAGGCTGGCGGGCGGCGTGGGGGCCGAAGTGGGAGCGCTGCTGGAGGAGCCGGCGGGCGAGGAGCTGACGGCGGGGCTCGGGCTGCCCGGGCTGGCGCTGCTGCTGCTGCTGCTCACCTGCGGCGTGCTGGAGCTGGAGGAGGCGGAGGGCTGGGAGCTAGCGCCATCTGGTGCCCTGGAGGGACAGGAGACGGCGGATTAATCAACCCGCAGCAGGACCGCCAGAGTCACTGACCGGAGTGGACACTGCAGGTGCCCTCTTCACGGTCCTTTTATTCATTCGACAAAATTCTGCAGATCATGAAGTCTGATAATTAGAGACCAGTATCGCAATCACAACTCATACAAGTTTTAGCTCCTAGACCGTAAATACACATTCATTTCATAATTCACAGTCCTGGATGCAGGCTAAGGCTAAGTCTGAGCTCGGCACAGTATCCACCAATTCCTGAGTCACAGGAATGACCGAATATGTGTAGTTGTGCCTCAATTTACACTGTAATTATATTCTCACAGTGAAACAAGCATACAAAATAGTGCAAATCGTGTAAGACATGGGGGAAAAAAAGATTTTGTTTCCATCCCTAAAGGATGACTTCCTGAATTTTTCCAACTGAAAAGGGTTCATGTGCTGCCGCTCAGATTCGATGACGATACTGATGTTGAGATGAGAATTCGGAGGGTCCACCAGGGGTGTGTGGGCATACCAACTCCATGCAGCTTGAAGTGGGACATGGGATATACTATGCCTTGCAAAAGTATTCAGATCCTTTCAAAGTTTTCACAAGTAGCTGGAACTACAAATGACACTTGTACATATTTTTCCAAAACAGTATTTTTATTGCAAACTCACATGCTCCAGCAGCCAAGACAAAATCAGTTACTTCTCAGCAAAAATGTTAAAGAAAGCCAAAAACTGAAATACGCTGCTGGCAGAAGTCTTCAGATCCCACACATTAATATTTGGTAGAGCCACCTTTTGCTGCAATAACAGATTAAGTCTTTTGGGGTAGGTATTTAACAGCTGTGCACACTGGTTAGGGGTGATGTTTGCTCACCAACACAGATTCGCGCTGGGGTTGAGGTGGGGACTTTGACTGGGCCGCCCGAGGACAGTCACATTTTTGTTCTTGAGCCAGTATTGCTTTGGCCCTGTGCTCTGGATTACTGCACTGTTGCAAGATGAATGTCCTTCCAGGATTCAGTGTTTTAGCAGACTGAAACAGATTTCCTTGCAGTATTTCCCCATACACTGCTCCACCCGATTTTGCTTCAATTCGAACAAGATTCCCAGTCCCTGCTGCTGATGAGAAGCACCTCCACAGCCTCATACCGTCACCTCCAAACTTCCTGGACAGTGTTTCCTGGGGCACTCACAACGTTAGGTTTGCGCCACACATAGCACTTTGAGGTTCAGCCAAAAAGCTCTACCTTGGTGTCATCCGACCACAAACCTTTTCCCAGATCTTCGCTGGATCACTCTTGTGCTGTCTGGCAAACTCCAGACGGGCTCTGAGATGGTTGTTTTTGAGTAATGGCATCTTTCTTGCCACTCGCCCATACAGGCCAGCGTTATGCAGAGCTCTTGATACATTTGACCGATGCGCCTGCATGCCACTCTCAGCCACTGAGCTTTGCAGGTCTTTCGAAGTGATTCTTGTGTTCAAAGCGAGTGCCCTCTCAGTGGCTTCCCTCACAAGCCTCCTTCTTGTTCGTCTGCTGAGTTTTGAGGAACAGCCTTTCCTAGGCAGTGTCTGGGTGGAGTGATGCAGCCTCCATTTCTTGGCGATTGAGCCAATAGTGCTAAGTGGGATATCCAAAAACTTCTAAATTTTTTGTACCATTTTCATAGTTATGTATTTTATCACTTTATCTCTAACTTCCTTAGAATGCTCTATAGCATTCATTTCCATACGTTTCCTTCAAATTCACTGCCTGACCAATGATGCCTAAGCAGAACAGAACTTTTATCTTCTAAATGTGTCAGATCATTTTATTGGTGCACAGGAGGCCAATGGAAAGGCAGCTCCATCCTTGTTAAGGCAGTTTCTGAGAGCGCAGGGGTGTGAATACTCAAGCATGCCACGTATTGCAGTTTTTGACTTTCCTTAAGATATCAGCTGACAAATAATTTTCTCTTTAAACCTTTTTAAATGTTTGAGCAAGTGAGTTCGCAGCATCAATACTGTTTTAAAAAGGGATGTATAAGATTTGTAAACCAGTGCATTTGAAAACTTCTAAAAAGGTATTAATACTTTTGAAAGGCACTGCATATACACCCAGTGGCCACTTTATTAGGTACACCTATCTAGTCCTGGGTAGGACCCCCTTTTGCCTCCAGAACAGCCTGATTTCTTTGCAGCACGGATTCAACAAGGTGCTGGAAACATTCCTTAGGGATTTTGGTCCATGCCGACTCGATAGCATCACGGAGTTCCTGCAGGTTGTTCGGCCATACGTTCATGCTGCGAACCTCCCGTTCCTCCTCATCCCAAAGGTGTGCTATGTGATCGAGATCTGGGGACTGTGCAGGCCACTGGAGTAAACTGACGTCAGCGTCATGTCCGTAGAACCAGCCTGCGATGACGCCTGCCTTGCGACACGGTGCATTATCCTGCTGGAAGTATCCATTTGAGAATGGGGAGACTGCGGCCATAAAGGGACGCACATGGTCAGCAACAATGCTTAGGTTCGCTGTGGCATTCAAATGGTGCTCAGCTGGTATTGAGGGGCTTAACGTGCAACAAGAAAACATTCCCCACTCCATTACACCACCTCCAGCCTGTACTATTGACAGGGCGGATTCATGCTCTTTAGGTCAAATTCTGACCCTACCATCTGCACGTCGCAGCAGAAATCGAGATTTGTCAGACTGGGCGGCGTTTTTCCCCAATCTTCAGGCGTGCAGTTTTGGTGATCACGTGCCCACTGTAGCCTCATCTTCCTGGTCTTAGCTGGCAGGAGTGGAAACCGGCGTGGTCTTCTGCTGCTGTAGCCCATCCGCTTCAAGGTTCGACGTGCTGTGCGTTCAGAGATGCCCTTCTGCACACCACTGTTGTAAAGACCGGTTATCTGAGTATCTGCAGGCTTTGTCAGCTGGAACGCGTCTGGCCGGTCTCCTCTGACCTCTCATTAACAAGGTGTTTTCGCCCACAGAACTGCCGCTCACTGGATGTTTTTTGTTTATCCTCTGTAAACTCTAGAGACTGCAGTGGGTGAAGATCCCAGGAGGCCAGCGGCTTCTGAGATGCTGGAACCACCACGCCTGGCACCAACAACCATACCACGGTCAAAGTCGCTGAGATCGCGCGTCTTCCCCATTCTAATGTTTGGTCGAACAACAACTAAACCTCTTGATTATGTCTGCATGCCTTATATATTGAGTTGCAGCCACATGATTTGCTGTTTGTCTATTCGTGTTAATGAGCAAGTGTACCTAATAAAGTGGCCGGAGGGTATATTGCTCTACAGTATTCCTACTGAACCACATTGTGGAAGGTATCAGAGGATACCTTCCACAATGTTAATTTAGGGATCTGTTAATTTAGTTTTTTACCAAAAGGTATGTTAATACAGAATAAGGCTGCCTTACCTCAATGGCTGCAGCAACTAACTTCCTTCTATAGAGTAGGAGTGTCCAAAGACATGACTAACACTCAAAGTGTGAAAGAAACTGCTTTCTGAGCCTGTGTGCTGTATGCAAGAGCTGGGAGAGCCTTGCAGTGTCTGTTCTGCGGGGCAGACCCAGCGCAGGCGTCTGTACTTTTTGAGGCTCAATAAACACTGAATCTGCACAAGACTGTGTCCTGATCTTCTGTCCTGCTGCAGGATAGCCCATAAGACAGCCCAACCTCCTCCTTCTGTTTCAAAGCGTTCTTTGCTGGATGTGAAGTCAGGTCCCTCAGCTACGCCGTTTTCTCCCAGAGCTGATACAGCGCTCCGTGTCAAGTGATCATACAAATCTCGTAGCCTTTTCTGGATTATTGGCCTGTTCAATGCAACACGTATCTGAGTTTGGTCCTTAAATCCGGCTGTTCAGCTCTTTCTCAGAAATATTGAAATATTTTACTCTACTCTTGCCTCTTTTCCCTTCACCGCAGGGTTCTTGCCACAGAGGATGACCCTTGACCTGTCCAACACTCCCCCTTCCTGTACTGCATTCAGCTCAAGGGAAACACTGTTAGCCAGTGATCGCAGCTGAGGAAGGCAACGCTGGGGAGCCCACACCTGCCCACAGCCCAAGAGCAGCGTGATGGAGGGGATGGGGAACAGGAGCCGACACAACAAGCTACACTGTGTGACAGTGAACCCACACCGTGTATAAAAATAACGGGTGACACGTAATTGTCCATTCATAAATGAAACCATGCAAACCAAGCCCGAGTGCACTGTGCTCCACAATGGCTATGAATTGGCCTCCTGTCTGGGTACTGTCTATACACATTAAGCGCAATCAATATGCGAGATTCAGGTTCATACTGGGGCTCTGTGGATCTTCACTCTTCCCCGCTGTCAGTGCAGTGGCCTGAAGCAAGCGGCCCTTTTCTTCCCACAATGCAGGGGCTTAGACTGCTAAACTCCTCGATGGCAGAGTGATGGATTAGGACCGTGTTGAATCCGATGTAACCAGTGGCTTTTACAGGACATCCGAGGAATCAAAGGTCTGTCTCAGCACTGCACCAAATCCCATCCGGATTGTGACTGTGGCACCTCCGTGCCTGACTGATCTCCTGTTCACTGCAGACAGGACGGCTGGAATTCCCCACCTGCCCTTCTCCAGCGCCACCCAGGGTCGTGTGCTCCAGAACTCCACGGGGTGGTGACAGACTTCAACAGCTCGGGCACAGCCTCACCTGGACTGTGGCTTACATCTAGCTTCGTTCCTGCAGCCCCCCCAAGAGGCTGGGACAAGCATCTTCTCCAACTTGCCTTATCAGTGCTCTTTTTTCGTAACACCTGATGGGTCTCCATGAGCATGAGCTGCAACACTGTGTGACAATGTTGTGAACACATTAATTTGACCGGCCAAGAGCTCGTGCAGACTCCCTCATGCCACGACCTCTGACAGACAGCAGGACATCACAGGTGGAGCACTCGGAGTTCCACCCTATAAATTGCTTTAAGATTTTAAGCTTGTAAAGTGGAAGGTTATGTAAACATAAGCTACTCTGGCTACAAGTTAGGTATCATTATCACAATTACAGAAAAATATGTCCAACATAAAATAAGAGATGAGTAACAGATATTAGAATGTCAGGTAAGCAGAATTGAATTATAGTTAATTTAATTGAGGTCATAAGTCTCAATAGCCAGTGACCACTTACTATGGCTATATCTAATACTTAAGACACTAAGATCTTAGTTTAGTTAAGTTACTTGGTAAAACACCCATATACCCAAGGAAAACTATGGCCAATTTCAGGAGACATTAAAGGAGTTTTTCTAGAACAGGGTATAGCAGTGTCAAGCCCATAGCCTTTAGGGACACATATAATGGTTCAGTCAGACACATGCAAAAAATTATTGAATTGAAAACAATTTTATTAGGAAAACTTAAGCAAAGGAGAGCTTTGGGTGGTGAGCGGGAATGATGTGTCTTTGCTATCCCTGTTGGATTGTCTAGTCCTCATCCTGTGCCTTTTAATTCCAGTTCAGCTCTTAACAAGCTAAACCTGCCCATTACTGGCTTAACTGGACCAGTTTTTCCTAGCTTTTCAGGATCTGCTGCATTAACGAGACTAAGAAAACCCACAGACACACTGACCCCCCCAGGATTAAGACTGGAAACTCCTGGCTTAGACCAGACTGACTTAGACTTGGTTCTGTAACTGGGATGCACTGGTTCTGGAGCTGGAACCCACTCACTTGTGCGCGGTCTTGATGACAAGGTGCACAGTCAGGCCATCCTTGATGCCATGCTGGTTCAGAGTGTCTCCGTCCTTCAGGATCTTCCCAGCAAAGATCAGAACCAGCTGGTCCTGCTTGGCTTTGAACCGCCGGGAGATCTCCTCCTTAAACTGTGGACACAGGGAGAGAGAGGGGTGAATGAGGGCAAGACCAGGATAGGTCTTTCAACACGTGTCCTCTGGAGAGGAACGGAGACGCAGGACAGCTTGAAGATGACAGGACAATTAGATGATGATCATAGCACGTCTCCATTGCTGGATATATTAAGAATGACAACTGTTTTGAAAACAAAAGTGTTCCCATTCAATTATTCATAAAGCTTATACTTCCTCTTTTACACACCTGAAGTGCTGGTCAAGATGAAAATAGTGGATTTTCTGAAGAAGAGCCCTAGTAGACAGCACACTGTTAACTTTAAGATGAAGGAAGCAGATGACAGGAATGCAAACATCACTTGGGGGTGAAACATCTCAGAAGATGCAAAAGAAATGAGGATCCCTTAAACTAACGTAAATCTAATTGCCTTTGCTGCCTTTAAAACTTCCGAGGTTCAAGAGCTCAGGAAATGATGATTTTAATAAATTGGTCTAGTCAAAGTGTAGCTGGGCCAAGTTCACCTTTCTCCAGCTGTGGTAAACTGCACAACACTTAAGAAAAACTTATGAAGTCTATCACAGCTTGATGTTGCCTCCCTGCCAATTATTAAGCCAGGCAAAGCTGAAGATCACAGAAGAGAGGTTCGATAAAGGTCGTGGAGCAGAAGATTTCCTGTGGAGCTGTTTTGCACTGCTAGCAGAGGAAGGGATAAGCACACATCTCTGCTCCACATGCATTTAGTTCTCTATGCTTTCTGTTGATTTTCGAAACACAGTCCATCATTATCTTACATCAGAACGTTAACAACCTCCTTGAGCGTTTTACACACCAAAGGAACCCTTCAAGTACTGGACTAACAACCTGCAACTGATTGTGGGAGGTGGTTTCACAGCTTTGATCTCGTCTTAGTCTCTTCTTGCTCCAGGGCTTCCTAACCCCAGCCCAATGGCTTCTATTTGTTTTTTTAGCTAAAAAACCAAAGCTTCCCTTTTAGCATTAACTAACGTTTTCATTTTGATTTTAGCTCTGAATCAAAGATTGTGTGGGTATCAGGCCGCTCAAGCATTTTTGCCACCATCATGAAATTCTAAATCATTTCACTCCAGACCACAATTAAAAAGCACAAATAAAAAATTACAGAGTGAAAGGCTTCACAAGGTGACGGACCACCTGTTAGAAAAATCAGAAGACATTATGAAGCCAGTAGGGAAAACCCTACAGTCCTCTGTGAAGAGCTGCTCTTTTGAGTGTGTGATCTGGTCTTATTAAGCGCAGGTTTCGTAGAGACTCACAGGGCCCCTTTCAACATTAGACCGTGAGTGCACATGACCAACCAGCCTAGCCCTGGAGCTAGGGAGGGTCCACTGGCTTGAGCCCAACCTCCGCTCTGAATGACCTGGTGGCTCAGATCTCTGCTAACACCTCCCTACAGATCCAGCCGAACACTGGATCTCTCCCACAGGCTCAAAGACTCCTGCCCGCGTATCACAGCTTCACGACGTCTCCCCATTAAGCCAGAAATGCAGATGAAAATCTTTCCTCCAGCCTCACCGATGTGATTCCACCCATTCAGCACATCTCATCCCCCCCGGGCCACTGCTCACTTTCCTCCAGGGAGGGCAGAGATGCATCTTCATTCACTATTTCTACAAAATACCAACACCGTGGAGTGCTGCAGCACAAACAGCCAAGCTCCGAGGCGCAAGAGCCAGAGAGGTTACAGACGAGAGGCATCAGCTGCGTTAGTAGTTCAGGTGGGTAGCTGCGTCAGCATGCGTAGGCTGCAAAGGAACAAGTAATAGGTTTATTCCATGCATGGAATAAACCTATCAGCTGCGTTAGTCTGTGAATAGCTTCATGTCCAAGGACCTCCCCCCAGCTCTTACTTTACAGATTCCAGGAAACCTGCTCCTGCGATGTGGCCAGATACTCACCTCTAATCATCTACCTAGAACTTCAACAGCCAACATTTCCAAGACCATTCCTCTGATGTCTTAAAAACAGGACTAACCTCTGGTAACTACCCTCACAGGAGACATTAAGCTGGGCAATGAGGTCTCCTTAATACAGCCGATGAATTCACCGAATTTATACAGCACTTTTCACTTCAAAGGCTCCCAAAGACATATAGAAAAGGGGACCAGGATCAGGTGGAAAAGTGAGAAACTGCTCCACCAGCTGAGATAAGGGGGATCTTCATGTAGGCCTGGACAACAGAGCCAACAACTGGACTGTAACGCATGGTGTCATTGGGACCTGTAAAAGGCCTCAGTCTGAGGTCTCACTCACTGGACAGCAGCTGCTACAGCACAGGGCCCCTGATCACCACACCGGGGCCCTGGTCTGGGAGTTGCTTACACTTGCAGCACCACAACAGCAGTCTGGATTCCATAGTCCCAGTACTGATCAGGCCAAACTCAGCTCAGCTTTTGAGTGCAGATTACATCAGGCTACAAGGTGGGAGCTGCTGCCTTTCGCTATTAATGTGAAGGGCTTTCTTTTAACTGTTGCTCGTTGGTCTAGGGGTACGATTCTCGCTGAGGATGCGGTATTTTGGGGCGGAGCGGTGGCTCTGTGGCTAAGGATCTGCGCCTGTGGCCAGAAGGTTGCTGGTTCAAATCCCGTGGCCGGCATAGGAATCCTACTCTGTTGGGCCCCTGAGCAAGGCCCTGAACCCCAACTGCTCCAGGGGCGCTGTACAATGGCTGACCCTGCGCTCTGACCCCAGGCTTCTCTCTCCCTATCTGTGTACGTCATGGAGAGCAAATCGGGGTATGCGAAAAGACAAATAGGGCCATAGGGCTAATCAAGTGATCTCATCTTATCTAACTGGTTCTGTGTGCTTCCCTCTACTTCCCTACTGTATCCCATACCCCCATCTATTATGTGTATTTATTTGGGTTTGTTGTTCTGTAAACTGCTTTGAGAAGCCACTTTTATAGGCGCTAAATAAAAGTAAAGTTGATTATTGTTATTATAGTGTGAGATGAAAACCCGTGAGATTTAGCCTATATTTGAAAATAGAGATTCCCCTTAAAAATCACTTCTAGATTATAACGGAGCACGTGAAAGAAAGCCTGGGATGTATCCATCTGCTCCCAAGAGGTCTAAATGAGCTAGCTTAGTGTTAGACGGAGCACGGGGACACGGGACATTACTAGACCTCTGACAATGCACAGAGAGACCTTTCACACCAACAACAGCACTGCAGGTCACGCGGGGGCTCGGTGCATCACCTTTTAAAATGGATGACAACTAACTTCTGTAACTGACATGATGTCAGCTAGCTGACATGTTTAACGGGGGGGAAAGGGCTCATCTTCACAGACAGGGGACGATCGCGCTATCGCAGAGCTATGAACTTTATGACGAATCTGAACTGTGGAATAAAAAAAAACCCGATCCGCCTTGAGGTTCTGAAAGCTTTAGATGACACGATCTTACCACCTTTCACGTGAGCTTTAGTACACATTTTTCAAAATGACTCAGCCTTTTGCGCCATAAGCCAGTTTCGCCCAAAGAACAGAAACCTCAGCGAAGGACAGACAGAACACGAACCGACAAGCAGGCCGGTTCCACTAATCACGGCGATCACAGGTTCCCAGGTGAAAGACCTGCGAGACACTGTCCCTCACCCCCACCCCCACGCAAAGGTGATGCCGTTCAGCAGGTATCTTATAAGGCCAACCCGATCTTGATCGAACAGCCAGATGCTGGGTCCTGCAGGCGAGTTTTGGCCACGGCTCGTTACGGCATAGATAGAAAACTGCAATCTTCCATTCAGACTCAACTCCGTGAGACGTGAATCGGTCACGTCCCACCCACCGCAAGCCAAGATGGAAAAACCGGCACTTAGAGGCTACGCTGACCGCGCAGACGGAAAAATCAAACCCCCACGCCTGCTGCAGAGGTCTGCGGGGCAACAGGCGAACAGCAGAGACCGACTCCCCACCTCTGGGTTAGCGGGGGGGATCGACAAGCCCCGGCTGAACTCCAGGCCTAGTGACCCGTGGACCGTCTCACTGTCGTGCCCGTTTCGGCCCCCGGTCGAGAACATTCAAGGCGCTGCTGTCGCCCGCAGGCCTACACAACATCCAGGGGGTGGGGGCATGGAGATCAGCATTCAATTACGAGCGCTGATGTTTCAAAACAAGAAGGGATCTGGGTGAATCCAGCTTTCATGGCGAGCAACTTGTCAGACGCGTGACAGCACGCAGTCTAGGAGGGCTCTGTCGGAGCTTTTTCACGATTGGGCACGGATCGCCCGCCAGCTTTAGATGAGGCACCCCGGCTTATCCTCCTGCCTCCCAGACATTTTACTCTGGAGTTGGAAGTATAAGAAATGGAGGTGGGCGACTACAGAGGTCCGTCCCTCCCGTGCCATTCATTTCGCAGCGCCAGCTCCAGAGACACCGAGAAACACGCTGACGCGCACCCGACTGCGGCGACGAAAGACACAGACACATTTTATAACGAAAAGGGTAGACCTGTGTAACCGAGGCATCCTCCACGATCGCAATTTCCTCTTTGTCCTTCGGGGTTTTGACCGTGACCCTGATAATATTCCCTTCCAAGGCGATATTTTTGTTATTGTTGTTGTTCACGGGGTCTGTGCCGCTGCTGTCCGCCATCTTTACTCCTCCTGTTATCACTGAGTCACTGACGAGCAGCCTCGAGCCGGCAAGAGGTAAGAACCCCCCTCCGTGCCCCTACCTCATCCCAGCGCCCGGCCCAGCGCAACGGCCTCGCTTCCGCTGGGGGGCCCTCTGGCGGCGAGGAGGAGGCATTACACCTAAAAAATTTGTCACCCGTTTTCCCGAAAGCCATGCATGACACCGGAAATGGCCACATCCCGGCGTCCATCTGGGAGCATCTTGTCCATCGCAGGTTGCACATTCAGAGACTCCAAGACAACCGGCATGTCTTTTTGAAGGTGGGAAGACACTGGAGCACCCAGAGAAAATCCCCAAAGAACACAGGGCAAATGGGCAAGAGACAAGCATCTTGAGTTACTTACTTTACCGTATGCTTTGAATTTTCTTTGATATTTTCTTATGAGATTGTGTAGTGTCATTTGAAGATCCGGTGAGATCCTCTGAAACAAAAACACACCGTATCAGCGTGTGAGAATGTTTGAAGGAAAGGGCAGTGTGTGGCGAACAATGAATGCCAGTAAAAAGGAAAAAGTGCTTTTGAAATACGTTTATAAAATACTGCAGCGTTCTGCTCCCCCCCCCTCCAGCAGTGGACCGGACCGTCGCCCTCTGACCCTTCCCAGCAGTCTCCCCTTCCTTCCAGGAGAGCTATATAAGGGGGGACCCTGAGGCATTCTCCCTCTTGTCCCTGGTGGCATGCTAGGGGTAACCTTGCAGCTGTGAGCCCCTACTCCCATCCCCCACCTGCAGCAACTAGCATAGCGCACCTCTGTACACAAAAGGGCAATAAATTCCTCTCCTTACTGCTGCAGCTCGCCTGCTGTCTGCTCATTCTCTCTATGCCACAATACTATATGAAATGTGAAGTCACATTACTATTACAATACTGAAGTATGTGGATCCTGCTTGTTTTTTCCTCTTAAGAACCTAGGCAGCAATAAGATTCGTAGTCCTTTTAAAATTTCAATGTACCAGATAATAATAATTGTTTACACTCATATAGCACTTTTCTGGACACTCCACTCAAAGCATTTTACCACCCCACCTGGATCCCCTCCGCCACCCTACCTGGATGATACAACGGCAGCCATAGTGCGCCAGAACGCTCACCACACATCAGCTCTCAGTGGGGAGGAGAGCAGAGTAATGAAGCCAATTCATAGATGGGGATTATTAGGAGGCCATGATTGGTAAGGGCCAATGGGAAATTTGGACAGGACGCCGGGGTAACACCCCTACTCTTTTCGAGAAACACCCTGGGATTTTTATTGACCACAGAGAGTCAGGACCTCGGTTTTACGTCTCATCCGAAGGACGGCGCCTGTTTACAGTATAGTATCCCCATCACTATACTGGGGCATAAGGACCCACACAGACTGCAGGGTGAGCGCCCCCTGCTGGCCCCACTAACACCTCTTCCAGCAGCAGCCTTAGTTTTTCCCAGGAGGTCTCCCATCCAGGTACTGACCAGGCTCACTCCTGCTGAGCTTCAGTGGGCTGCCAGTCGTGAGTTGCAGGGTGAGATGGCTGCTGGCCATATAAAGTATATATAGTAGTAAAACAAAATGTACTTCATGGGGTTACCTTACGTTACAAGTACAACATAAGTAGGTAAAAGTGATGCACCCAAATGTACATTAAAAGTAGCACATTTTTGTATGATTTCAAAATTATTAAACAGCCAGTTGTTTGCCACCGCCTGGAGAATCCTAAGACTGAGAAAGAACAAAGGGACAAGCAGAGCTGGTATCTCTCTGGAGGTTTTTCATGCATTTGCATGAGACGGGGGGAGCGATAGTTTCATTTAGGAGAAACTGCGGAAAGTTTTCGGAAGACATGGGATACCTGATATAATACATGAGATTTTAACCGGGGATTTTAACCTCGTCGCGTCCCAGGATGGATAACTCGCTGATGGACTCCTGGACTGTGCCCTGATCTGCCTTTGGACCCGTTTGGATTTGGATGTCATTCTTTGTCTCCCCAGTTCACCGTCTCACGGACTGTCACTATTATTCTGTGCACTATTAAACCCCTGTGTGTTTCCTTTTACCACGCCTCCTGTTTTCTCCAGCTCTTACCGCATCGCATAGGGTCTACTACAAGACCCGACACGGATCTCAGTCCGTGTTCGTGACAAAGACTGCCCCAAAACTAAAAACCAATGCAAGAGATAAACAGTTACAGGAAACATCTAGTTGAAGACAACCGACTGGCTCTTTATTACAGGACATCATATATTGGACTCATTATGACTCCTGCAGTGATGAACTGCCCATTTTAATGCCTCTTACTCTAACAAGCAAGAGGGAGAGACATTTGGACGTGAACCACTGATGGAGTTCACCTGTCGTAAATCCAGAGTAATCGTGAGTGAACACGCCGGAGCACCTGGGGAAAATCCACACGGACACAGGGACAACATGCAAACTCCACACAGACAGCTCCGCAGGTCCAGAATTGAACCCAGGACCCCTGCCCTGCGAGGCAACAATTTTGATCAGTGCTCCACCATTCCGCCCAAATTATGCTGTCATTTTAAGGAAATGTCTGAGAAAGATCAGTATTTAGTCACCTGTCCAACATATTGATGTCAAGCAATTGTATGTGAGAAAACTGTGAGACTGATTCATGCGCTTGGCCACAGAAACAAGTGTATAAGCCAATATATTTTAACACCATTTTTAGAATCCCTATAATTCCTGTATAATTGATCTGCCATTTGTGTGTACCATGGCCAAATGATTCTTATGCATGCCCTATGTATTCACCCTTGTGGTGGTTTATTCTGCACGTTTTTTTTATTTCCAGTTTCTAATGGTTCAGGCGAATTAAAACCATCAAAAACACAATATGGGCTTAGTTCCAATCAGTATCCCAAGTGATTCTTTTCCTAGACATATACTTGAACTTGAACTTTATTGCCATATGTAACTGGTCCATGTACTGGTACAATGGAATTCTTACTGACAGAAAGTCTCTCGATTGTAAAACAAGTGTAAAAACTAAAACAAAGTGCAAACAGTGCATCAAGACAATATACAAAAAAACAATAGACAATGTGCAAGTAAACATGTAGACAGTTTGAATGTAAACAATACAGATGTGTAAACAGTGACTGGAGATGTGCAATAGACAAGAAATCATAATGAGGTAGATGGTGATGGTGTAGGTGTGGTCCGAGGGGGATGGCTAAATGTGTTCGCCAGTCTCACTGCTTGTGGATAGAAGCTATTGAAGAATCTAGTGGTAAGTGTCCGTATGCTCTTATATCTCTTGCCTGAGGGCAGTGGGGTGAAGAGCTCGTGCCCGGGGTGGTGACTGTCCTCTGTGATGGCCAGAATTCTACCACGGCAGCGGTCCTCATAGAGCTGTTTAATCTCGGTGAGACCGCAGCCGATGATCTTCTGGGCCTTATTTACCATTCCCTGCAGTGCCTTTCTTTCTCGAGAAGAGGTGTTGCCGTACCACACGGTGATCCCGTTGGTGAGGACGCTCTCGATGGTGCAGCGGTAGAAGTTCACCAACACAGGTACTGGCATCCCCCATCGCTTGAGGCACCTCAGGAAATAAAGGCGGATATAGAGGTATGACTGGAAATAATGCAAACACTGTATAAAAGCAGAAGGCTGTTTTACATTTCATCCTTTTTCTACCCAATTCAGGGTTGCGATGGAGTCAATCCCAGCATGCAACAGGCACAAAGTGTGTCCACGCCGGACACACACAAGCACAATCACACACTCACACCAGAGCCAGTTTTCACAGAAGCCAGTTAACCCACCAGCATATCTTTGGACTGTGAGAGCACATACAGTACGAACTCCCACACACACCCCAGGTCTGACTGAATAGGATGCATTTCCATGCTTATATACCATATTTCCATTGTATTATTGGTCATGTATACAGGGTTGGTGGTAGGATAAATAATAACAATGTAACTTTGTTTTGCCTCATTGTCAAGATGATCATTTAAACAGCAACTTCATTACTAACTGTATTGTTCTAATTATGTATCAAAAACACAAACCATACATCTACTGCGAGTTAGCAGGTGAACCAGGTGCCAGGATATTAATATTACTATATCATAATTTGTGAGATTCTACGTGGCTTCCTGGCTTTCAGTGTTCATTGTGCCAAACTGGCATTTTATTTCAGCTCAAACCAGCCTGTTTAATGTAAGATGAACTCTGTTGTCTTAATTCCTCACCTTCAGTCTGTACCCCAGCTAAAGGCATACAGAAACAACACAAATTTATTAATCTTAACATGTTTTAAACACTGTCCTCATATGCAATTCCAAACCTTTCTCTCTTAATCATTTTGTTTTAGCATAAGGTGTTTATAATATTAGGTGAAGTATTCAGTCAACTATATTGAAAGCCTGGTACAGTGGAGCCTTTGATAAATTGTACTGCGAGGAATATTTTTAACATCAGGATTTTGTTCTGGATATGTAATAAAGCTTATCCATTTTATGTTCTTTGCATTTTTAGTTATTATTTTTTTAACACACTGTGTTCATGTCTTTTGCCTCTTAATTTGAATGGTACTGATCCGTGAAGTACCTATTTTAATTTTCAACCTGATAAATTAAAATTTTCTTAACCTAGTAACACTGACAGCTTTTTACAGATACACTATATTCCTGAATACCCTCATGAGATATTGGTCTTTTTAATCTAGACCTGCATGTAAATGGCACACAGGTGAGATCGTATAAGCACACAATAATTTGAATTAGAAATGTGACCCATTGTCATATTTCGTTTTTATGACACGGCATATATGAATGTGCAGTTTTACACATATAAGCAGAGTATTTTCTGCTTCAACAAGACCCCCTTAGAATATCTTAATTGTTTCATCTCTGACTGTGGATTCTTGCTTGCTTGTCAGCCAAAAAAAACAACAGACAATTTGGCAAGAAAGCATGACCATACTGCAGGCTTCAGAGTAGTCCTGACTTAACTTGACTTAACTTAACTTAATGATTCCTTCAGCGATCAAAAACCTAAATTAGTTTTTTTTTTCTGAAGCAATGAATTTCACTGGTGATCTATAATGCCTGACAGTTTATGTGCTAAGCTGCAAAACACATCTTAGGTATTAAATATGGTTACTTGTTTCCTCACTTAAAATGCTTATGTTGCTATCCAGATAGCCTACAAGCATTGAGTCAGTAACAGCAGTAAACTGCTTCAGGTGCACTTCAGTTGTAGTTGGTGATGTACAGCATATATGGGTTGTATACCTGGTTGTTGATCTTGAATTGCTATAGTGCAGAGTGCCTATAGCAGTGGGGACTTCAGGAATGATGTCATTGAGATGTGCCAAGGCAGAATAAAGAGAGACTGAATGTGAACTGAATATAAACATGTGAAAAGCTGTATCACTCATGTTGCAGTTTTACAGGTTAAAGAGAACTAGTGGCAGCACAGGTCCTTGATTCATGGTAGTCTGTGATATTGGCTTTGGAAGAGCAGCAGTATCTGCTGAAGTAACAATGAAACTAAAAATAATAAAATCATTACTAAGGAGAAAGAACTGATATTTGGACATAAGTTCAAATCAACCACTTTCAGACTACAGCTTGTGCAATGGGAACTTTATCTATCCATACACTTTCACCTACACAACTATATCTCACACTGCCCACCTAAACAGTCAACACGTGCCTGTCCGGCCATGGGAGATCTGCCTTTCAAAAAACTGTTTAAGCCTCAATGATGATGAAATCATCTTCAGAAGGAAACTTTAAAATTCCTCCTGTTTAACAAAAATTTGATCTTCAGTGTGTGAGAGGGGTGTGAACCACCTGTGTTAGGAAGAGGACTATAGAGGAGGTGTGAGCTCTTCGACACAGCCCTGCTGATCATCATGCAAATTTCAATCAGGCTACAGGTCGTGTAGAGAGACCCTCTGTATTTATACGGGCTGAGGGACGAGCCCGTGCTCAGACCTCACCAGCCACAGCAGTGAGATCCGCCAGCCAGTTTCCCAGAGAGGCGACGCCAGCTCACCAGGTGAGTCTAACCTTTTTTCCCAGGAAAGAAAACTGAACAAGAAGACTGTTCAATTAATCGCATGGGACATTTTTAAAGAGGAGCAAGTAATGGGTTTATTCCCTGCTGAAAAGAGAAGAAAGAAAACAATGTTTTGGCCGTGGAGCCTTCTTCAGGTGTGGCCGAAACGTTGTGTTTTCTTTCTTCTCTTTTCAGCAGGGAATAAACCCATTACTTGCAGCCCATGCATGCTGACGCAGCTACCCACCTGAACATTTTTAAAGAGGATGCAATCAGCAATTATTTATAAAAATACAAGTGATAGGTTTATTTCCTGATGAAATGAGAAGAAAGAAAACACAAGGTTTCGGCCAAAACGTTATGTTTGCATCCTACACATGCTTCCTTTGCAGCCTACACATGCTGATGCAGCTACCCACCTGAACAACATTTGTAAAAATTTATGGCTAACAATTTTACAATAGATTTTAATGCTCTTGTTGGTACACATAGCATAAACCTTCAAGTGTTTTACTTCCTACTTTTTTACGATTTACTTGACAGATCGTCACAAAGGTATAGATGCACTTCTCCAGTGTTAACTTCTCCTTAATTACGCTTTTCATTCAACATTTGAATGTTAATTACTACAGGTTAGCTTGGGTGAGTAGAAACCAAACATATTACTGAGCAATATTTAATTCACATTGATCAGCTAATCCATCACATTTACCAATCAAATTTAATTCACTCGTTATTAGAAATTCCTTGTTTTTAACACCATTTTGTCCTCTGTACACCTCCACATAGTTAAAAAGCTACTGTTGTACCATCAATTTACAGATCAATTTACAGATTTATCACGATTAATCTTAGAACAAAATAGCACAAACATTTAAACAATATTTTTCTATAAAACTGTTTCTGTATAAAGAAGGAAAGCATAAAATGATGAAAAGCAAAACAAAGCAAAAAGCACAGCAGTACGCATGATAGTTGATCATATTTCAAGACTGTAAGTCTATTGTTATGTCATTTTATACAGATCACTGTTTCAGCTGGCATGTGCACAGGCAAAAATAAAATTAGCAGTTTTAATTTTAATGCATTTAAGAATTAATTATTCTATTAGGTGCCATTTGGAATTTAAAATATAAATATGTAAAGATAGGTCCTAATAAATTCAACAACAACAATTATTATTAATATAGTGGACATCGGGCCAACAACCCTACTCTTTTCAAGACACCCTGGGATTTTTAATGACCACATACAGTAGAGTCAGGACCTCAATTTTACATCTCATCCGAAGGGTGGTGCCTTTATACAGTTTAGTCCTGTCACTATATGGGGGCATTAGGATCCACCACAGGGTGAGCACCCCCTGCTGGCCCCACTAACACCTCTTCCAGCAGCAACTATAGTTTTTCCAGGAGTCTCCCATCCAGCTACTGACCAGGCTCACACCTGCTGAGCTCCAGCAGGCTGCCAGCTGTGAGCTTCAGGGTGATATGACTGCTGGCATTCACTGGCATACTTAGTTGTTTGTACATCGCATTACATTAGTCATTACAGTGACTAGAGAGCAGGAGGGGCCCAATTACGTCACACTCCGTGGGAACTCTCGCTCTTGCCCACAGCAAGACCAGGGTTTTTTGATAACACAGGAACTTACGGTACTTTCACAAAGTGCACCATTTTGTGCTAAATTCAGAAGTTTTCTATACCGTCAATTAATTTAATTTGTCACGGAAATCTCATAACTTGTCTGAGAAACTGGGACTGCAGTTCCCTTTTAGTGAAAGGTAAGTTTCTAACCCCAGTTAAATTCTTCTACCACCAGTTTCAATTCCTTGTTACCTTCAGCCCAGTGAAGCCCTTCGCAGACCAGGAGGAAATGATCATGAGACCCAAATCATCGATCATCTGGAGTCCCAAGAAAATCCCGCTGGATGTCTGCCTGCTCCTCTTGTGAGTATGAATGCTGCAAAAAGCTCTTCTTTTTGAGTCTGCACACTGAAGAACTGTATTAAGAATTGTGCTTCCACTTGGGATCAAAATCGTGTGCTTTATGCACCACATTAAACAGCTAGTGTGTACCCAGAAACCTTTCAAAATCGTATTCCAGGCTGAAAAGAAAGGAAAAGAGACACTACGTTTTGGCCATGGAGCCATCTTCAGTTGTGAAAATGTATTTTTGCCTCGTTCTGCTGACGCAGCTACTTGAACTTCTTTTAAAACCTTCATGATAATTCTGAAAATCATTTGCATCACAAAAGCAGGACTTAGGGGAATATTAAGCATCCTAACGTAAAGTCTTCTGATTTGCAAGGTTCAAGTGCCCCCAAAATATTTATTTCAACACCATGCAGATACAGTAGCTACCATTTTCATCTGTCGGAGAAATTTGTCATCAGGTAGCGTACATGTGGGTCAAGTCCACCAGTAGGTAGAAACTAGGACCCCAGGAACCTAGGGGTGGGAGTGAGGGGCTGAAGAGAGAGGGAGTATCCAGTAACCAAAATGGAGGGCAAAGATCCATTATCTTAAAGGTCAATTAGCACTGAAAGAACAAACGAAGAGACGAGTTGAGCTCTGCGAGTAATCCTCACTAGTGAGCATGGAGAGGTGTGATTGAAAGGCTTAACTAGGGAGGAAAGAGGAAAACGGTTGGATAATCGATTCATTCTGTGAGCAGTGCACATTGGAACAGGGCAGCGAGTGCGTGGTGACTCTGACAATGTGACAAACATTTAACTGAACTTTTTTAAGACTCTTAATTCATTTTGTGAAGAATGTAATGCAAAGATCAATATGACGACTCTTCAATGATAATTCCAAAATAAGTAAGGCATTCTGCTGTAGGAAACCTTCAACAGGGTATGACAAGATGTGGATAGATTAAGTTTTATGTTTGAAAAAATCTGGTAATTTGAGAATTTTCATGAAATAAGGTGCAACAATCCACAAAATTGCAAATAATAAATCTGTAAAAATGCATAATAATTAAAGGGTGCAATTTACTTCCAGACTCCTTGCCATCAATTGCTCTGGGAACAGGAACTTCTTTGATGACACAGAAGCACCTGAGTTTAACAATGAGGACTGGATGAAAGAGATTCCAGACAACACTCTTCTTTCGGCAGTCAATATCCCCGGCACCCATGACTCCCTGTCTTTATACTGCACACGGCTGGCTATATGCCAAAGCTGGACATTAGACAAACAGCTACAGGCAGGAATCCGTTTCCTGGATGTTAGAATACAGTGTTTTCCTCTATGTGGTGACCCAGTTATCTGCCATGGAATAACTCCCCAGTTCGACTGGTTTAGCAATGTGGTGAAAGTAGTCATGAACTTCTTGCAGGCTCATAAGAAAGAGACTGTTGTGATGAGGCTGAAGGCAGAGCTTTGTGAAACTGGTGTCAATACTCTTGTGAAGGTAAAGAACATGCTGAATAACAATGGGGCAGCAGGGGCTTTGTGGGAGAGCACAGATGTGCCGAAAATGAGACAAGTTAGAGGAAAGCTGGTGATACTGCAGGAGTTCAGCGGTGAGACACAGTGGATCAAGTATGACTCACTGGACATTGGCGATGACTACCAGGTGCAGAACATCAACGAGAAGTGGACAAGCGTCCAAAACCACCTAAACTCGGCCATTCAGGGGGACAAAGAAAAACTCTTCCTGACCTTCAGCAGCGGCACGGGCATTTCTGCTACACAGATAATCTGTGCACTGTGTCCCCACCATGTGGCACAAACAATTAATAACAAATTATTTGATTATTTGCCAACTTTAGCCAGTAACAAAAATCGTCTGGGGATAATCGCCATGGACTTCCCATCTGCCCAGCTGATCCAAAAGATCATCGAGCTGAACCAGCAGACAAACTGAGGCAGATCGAACAGCCTTCCCTCTTGAACTATTTCCTTTAAGCATGTTTCAGAAAGCCAGGTCTTCAGAGAGCTCTTCAAGCTTCTCCTTGTCAGCTTCAGACACAGCAGGTTATAAACACGCCAATGAGCTTTGAACCATCATTCAAGCTGAATCGCAAGCCTTAATTAATCTTAAAAAGAAAGCCTCTTTGTGTAGCCTCTAAAAGTGTGAAACGATTTCTCAAATTCAACAAAATTAAGCTTTTGCTATTATTATTTGATTAATAAAATGGGGGTGGGAAGAATCATAAAAATGCTATTGTTGCATGCCAAGCTGAATGTGCTACTTTTGAATGCTTACATGAAATAAAGATTTAAAGCATTCTTGTTTGAATCATTCTTCACTGCCAAGTATCTGGGTGGAGCTGTTCCTTTTTATACCAGAAGATGGAAGTGTGGGTCTCTCTTAATTGTAACACAGTAAGAGCAGTGCAGGAAGTCCAGTAAAAGCCCACACAATATTTACAGTACAGACAGCGCTGGACTCACCCGTAGCATGAGTACAGGACTGAAAATGAGATCGATCCAGTTTTTATGCTGTAGAGGAGCAGTGAAAATTTCCAGTTTCTCATTTGTATCATTGCTAGAAGCAATGTTGATATTGATATCAAATCAAAAGTAATGGGAAATCTATTGATCTAAACGTTATATACTGTATATACTGTACCTATATCTTTCTTTGACAGGAAACATGGCACATGTGAGGTCAGAGTTCAATTACTCCATGAAGGATAAATAGAGCATGTATAGTATACCACAGCATTTTATATAAAGTGGAGCCCATGGACATCAGAACTGCACACAATTTATGAAAACCAGGGACCTGATTTTATCCCTCCAAAATATTGTGAAAAGTGTTTTTTCATCACTTTATTCTTGGTGTCTTTTTATTTACTACCCATGCAAGAAATTATGCTGTAAGTCTACCACCAAATTAAATGTACACAACACACAAAACATTCTAGAGTTTTCTATCTAAGCATTACATCTTCTATATAAGGGGAAAACTAAGGCTGCTGCTGGAAGAGGTGTTAGTAGGGCCACCAGGGGGCGCTCACCCTGTGGGTCCTAATGCCCCAGTATAGTGATGGGGACACTATACTGTAAACAGGCGCCGTCCTTTGGATGAGACGTAAAACCGAGGTCCTGACTCTCTGTGGTCATTAAAAATCCCAGGATGTTTCTCGAAAAGAGTAGGGGTGTTACCCCGGCGTCCTGGCCAAATTTCCCATTGGCCCTTACCAATCATGGCCTCCTAATAATCCCCCTATATGAATTGGCTTCATTACTCTGCTCTCCTCCCCCACTGAGAGTTGATGTGTGGTGAGCGTTATGGCGCACTATGGCTGCCGTCGCATCATCCAGGTGGGGCTGCACACTGGTGGTGGTGGAGGGGAGACCCCATTACCTGTAAAGTGCTTTGAGTGGAGTGTCCAGAAAAGCACTATATAAGTGTAAGCAATTATTATTAATTATTCAGAAATGAGCTTTTTAGGGCATCTTTGCTCAGTGAAACACTTGATGGCCCTTTGCTCATTATTTCTTAAACTAAGCAACATTGTCCAATAATCCCGAAAAAACAGAATAGTATTAATCCTGCTTTAGAAATTAAGCTTGGATTATAAAACAGGTACACTGCACATTGATACTTGACACAAAAGCTTTTTCTCATGGGTGTGACAATTGTAGCAAACTTGGAAAAAATGTAGAAAGTTGTAGCACCTCCTAAACCACTGAAAAATGTTTGACATTTTGAATTATTACTGATTTACATGAGCCAAACTCTGTAAATGTTAGCCCAGTGTCCTTGTGGGTTTTCTCTGGTTTCCTCCCACAGTCCAGAGATGCTGTGGGTCGTTTTGTGGTTAGTGAAGGCCTAGGTTCAAATCCAGTCCAGAGACATGTTGGTGGGTTAATTGGTGGAAAATTAGCCCTGGTGTGAGTGTGTACCCCGCCTTGAGCCTGTGGCTTGGTGGGGGTAGACTCTAACTCCCCCGGGACCCTCAGCTGCATTAAGCAGTTAGAAAATGTTTAGATAAGCCAAATAATCTGTAAATTCAAAATAGTGCACGCACTAAACTGACAAAAACAAAAACACATTTTTACGCAAGACTTTTCTATCCGATGACAATTTCAAAGTGCACGAGGGAGGACCTGACTTAATTTTTAAAGTAAACCAAACTTCATTTTCGAGCTCCAGGTAAACTGATTTAAATTTCACCTACAATCAAAAACACACTGAATGCAAACACGGGTATATCAACATTTTACCACAGACTGCAAACACTGTTGTAGTGAGATTAGGCAGCTTCTGTATATTAGAGATATAAAATCAGGTCAAGGTGAAGCATGGTCTGTTCATGTTAAACACAGAGAAAAGGTATAGAATACAACAGCAGTACAACAGATAAAACAACAGATAAAATGTGTTATATTGTAGTAATACAAAAAGTGGTTAAGTATATTATTATGTAAAATATGTAAAACTCAATATATAGAATCTGCTTTTATGGTATTATTAGAATATTAATTGATAGAATATGTTGTCAAGATCTAAATTTGTTCACAAGTGACTCAATGGTGAAATAAAGTATTAGAAACGCTGCTGCTTTTTAACAAAATAATTTAATTTTGTCACAACCCTTGGAAAAGACATAAGTCACTTTTAGTGGCCGAACTTTAAGCATAAATTAGGACAGAGGACAAAGCGAAAACCCCATACTGCACATCCTCGCAGTGATGACGCAGCTCTGCCGCGGACGGTTCTCCGGTCTGACGTCACACGCCGCGTTGCGGGCCGCTGCGGTCATCTGCAGCCGAGAAATGGGGTGACTCGCGCCCACAATCGGCAGCAGTTCTTGAGACCCTCACTTCCATTAAAGGTCTGTCTACATCTGGAATTTTAATATGGATGGAGAACTGAGAAGGAATTATGAGGGCTATATTCCCAGTTAAAAAAGTATTGAGCCAGTGAAGCATTCGTCTAGTGAGCGGTAAGATACTTTTTTTTGGACACCAAGTAGATTACAAATATAATGTACTGTATCTGGTATGTAAACGGATAAACCAGTAGCGGGGGAGGAAGACACTGAAATTCGCCTCTCTTTCACCCCGGCTCAGACCGGCCGGGCCGAGGTGCAGGTGCGGCCTTCAATGACGTCACCCAGCCCCGCCGGAGTGACGTCAGCAGTTCGGCTGCCATGTCGGACCTGGGTTCGGCGATCTCGGCGCTGGTGTTCGGGGCGGTTTTCCTCCTTTTCCTCGAGGTGCTCAGGCTCCGGTTCCCCAGGCACCGCAGGCCCCCCGGCCCCACGCCCTGCCCCTTCATCGGGAACCTGCCGCAGCTTCTCCTACAGCCGCTGGAGACTTTCACACAGGTAGGATCCGCGGACAGGACCTGTCGCCGGCTCGCACACGGACCGCACCTGCATGCTTCGCTGGAGGATTATGAACGATTCGCTGTAAACCACATCTAAAGCGACTACACGTGCGATTCCTAAAAATCTTCTTCTTGTACAGCAACACCTCGGTGAACACAGGGGTAGCGCAATTATACAAGAGCTGTCGGCGGTTTTAAGAGCTTTTCACAGTTTGTGCGGAACTCCGGATGATCGTGCGCTCTCTTGCTGTCCGATCCTGGTGTATTTACAGTCCAGGCTCCGGAGACTGAACAGGGGCTTAAATAAACCGAACTAAATGTGCCACTTAAGAGCTACAGCTCTGCTAAACTGCTGCTTAATTCCAGTGCGCAACCTGACAACGAGGTCATTCATCAGGAGTTATACTCCTGAGTGAAATATAGATTTCCAGTTTATTGCTAGGAATTCGTTTAGCTCTCTGACTCCTTCATGCAAGAGCACAAAGGTTATTTTAAAATTAAAATGTCTAACATAGTGCTTACTCCACAGTTCTCCGTACCTTTGACACTTGAAATCTCTTGAAAGTTGATTTCAGAGAGGAAAAACCCACTTCACACTGTTTTGTGGTTAAATGAAAACATGAACGGTATATTGAAAAACACAGATTTTCGTCTTTGTCTTTTTGTTAAAAGTGGATTTGCCAGTTATTTGTGTTATACTCAGCCTGTTTTGCTTGCTCGTTACGTGTTGACGCACGGCGGAGGGGGAGGCAGTAGGGGCGGAGTCCTATCCGAGCCGCAGGGCTTTCAGCTCCGTACGGACGGGACAGTCCCGGACTGCAGGGGCGCGCCCGTCACCTGCAGCACAACAACCTGCAAGCGCACAAGAGGCCACCAGGGGGCGCTGTGTCACCAGAACCCAAGAGATCTCTGGCCGACTAATCTTGACAGCGCTCTGCTAAA